CTTTTGGGGGGGCCGCCCCCCCCCATACCAAACCCCCCAAAAAAAAAAAAAAAAAAAAAAAAAAGCACTAGAACATGAGAAAAAGCAGGAAACGTGGATGCCCTTCCACTTCTACCTTTGAATGATGAGGACAGGGTGGAATCAGAGAACATTTAACTTCAAGCACATGGCCTGTTATAGATATTCCCAGAATTAGAACCCAGGCTACAGGCCCTTTCCATAAAGGGAAGAGAGAGGCTGAAGGATGTCAAATACCCTTATCTCTGCTGAAACCATCCCATTAGCCACCTTCGCTAAGAGCACAGCATCCCAGCACAGGCTTCCCAGGGCTGCCCCAATGCTCCTGAATGTCGATAGGCTGTTACAAGGCTGGGGCTGAAGACAGCCACATGGCTGATGCAGAAGCTCCCTAAGTTGTGGTGACACCATGTCCTGTATCTAACTAGCAGAATGGGAAGCTTCCATCTTCAGCCTTTGATGTGTGGAGGCTTTCATTAATGCTATCCTTCAAAACGGACTAATAAAACAATCCGCTTCTGACTAGGGCAGAAGGTGGCGGACACTGGGATAGATACAGACCCTCTGTCTGATCAATGTGCCTACTTCTTACATGAAAATAAGGCCACCTTTTATATCAATGGGCTTTCCCATACCTGGAAAGTTCTTCCTTAAGTGATGTGCATTCATGGCTGAAATGTGAGACCTCCTCCAGTGACTCTTGAAAGTCTTCGAAAGTTGTTGTCATTCTACCGTTTGATGTTTTACCTCCTCTTGCAGCTCTTAGAACTGGGATCTTGAGAAGGCCAGAGTGTTTGCCAGGCATTCTTCTGGCTGATGGTACTATGGTAAGAACAACACAGGAGTACTTTTATCATGGGGTCAAAGACCAGCAGGAAGACGAGCCCAAGCACATCTGTCCTGACAAAGAGAACACAGGCAACAGGAAAGAAAGTCTCTGTGCTGGTAGAAAAAGCAAGTGTTGGCTCACTCTGCCACAAACCCGGAGGAATACTGCATCTCTGTCTTTCCAATACCCTTGATTTTACTGATTTATGATGGTCAGCACTGCTCTTAGAATGTTCTAGATACTCAAGATCACCATTTTCTACATGTTCACACACTCTTTGTTCAATAGTCCAGCCTTGAATCTTGTCCAAGATCGAGCCAAGATGTGATAGGTGCTGCATATAACATAAGATCCTTGGTCATTTACGGACACTAGGGTTGCCAGAGCCAAACCTTGGGTTCAAAAGAGGTTCCAGCACAAGCAATGGCAGTGGTGTTAATGTTATCATACTCTCATGACTGCTTATGGGGACAAGCCAGCTAAGGGACAGGGACTTGAGCTTGGAGTTGAGTATCAAAGGTAATGACACCTCCAAAAATGTAGGCAAGATATCCGCCCACCATGGATGGCCACAGAGCCTCAGAGAACATTGTTTGGATGAGAAAATTAACAAGACCATCAAAGGAATGATAAGATTGTCCCAACAAAAGAAGGTCTCTCAGATTCCATTTTGCACTACGGAGCGACAGAATTGGCAAAGATATTTCCAAGTCTTTTCACAATGGTCTGTATTAATTCCACCACCGTGCACTTTCCATTGAGTGCCATGGTGACAAAGGTGTGGCCAGGAGCTATGAAAAGCACAGTTACCTCACTCACTCAAAGTCTGTGCTTCTAACTCAGTCCTAGAGTGTGAATGAATCCAAGATGGGTACACAGGGATGGCTGCATAGAGGCAGCTCTCTTCCTGGTCAGATAGGTGAGCACAAAGCATATGCAGGCTACCTGGAAGGTCAGTGAGAGCCTTAGTCTCATCTTCATGGGAATACTCACTGGCTGCCTCCCCATCAGAGCAGGTTTCAGGCACATCTGATCGGGAAAAGGGCCTGTTGAAAGGAAGGTGAGAGTCAGACAATTCAAATCTACTGAAGCAGTCAGATTCTGCTCATCCAGTGGCTCTTCTGGACTTGGTTCCATGACCCGAAGGTATATGGAAAATGGAATACTGAACCCAGAAGTGGACATCACGGTTCTATTGTGAGACCTGGTGAAATGTCTAAATGACAGGTCATCGAGTGCAGAGGGGCGGTCTTTTCAAAGAAGAGAAATAAAACCATCCTCCTCTGGGGGCCAGCATGTGGCATGGTGGTATAGGCATTAAACACTCCCACATGGCCGACCACGGTTCAAGTCCTGGACTTGCTGGCTTGCTTTCTGACTTTCTCTCTCTCTCTTTGTGTGTCTCTCTCTGGTCAAATTAAAATAAGTGAATGAATAAATTAAATTAAATAAATAATTCTTTAAAAAAAAAAATCTCTGAAAGGACAGAGTATGACTGCCAGGAAAATGGAAAGAGGGAATGGAGAGCGATGGGGAGCAGCAGCTACTCAGTGCCCTGGCCAGATAATATGCAGCTGAGGAAGGAGACTACTCCCACTGTGTGACACAATCACAACAGGGTGCACACAATGAGAGCCGTACAGTAGTTACAAACCCGGTGCAATTTGGTTCCACTTTCCTTCCAGAAGGAATGAAGGCTCTGGAGGCATTGCCGTCTCACAGAGACATGTGCCTTCTCGACCTTCTTCTCTCACTATGGTGATGTAATAGGAATTTTAGCTCTAGGGACATTTTTCGCCATGAAATGCCTGCCAACAAGTCAAGGACAATCTTGCAGAAACAAATCTACCTCAGAGGAGAACGACTAGTCTCCCTGAGCATAAAAAATCCATGAGATAGTGCTCGCTTTGGCAGCACATACACTAAAACTGGAACGACACAGAGGAGATGAGCATGGCCCCTGTGCAAGGGTGACACGCAAATATGTGAAGTGTTCCGTATTTTTAAACCAAGTGATGTATAGTAATTTAATATTTAAAATAATAACAATAAAATGGAATTTTTAAAAATAAAAGGAAAATATATGAATCAGGAAAAAAAAAAAAAAGAAAAGAAAATTCATGAGATTGACTGAGTTCCTAAACTGAGAAACTAATAGAAGGCTTTCACTTTCTCCACTTTCAAGTCAAAAAGACAATCCCACAGAAGTCATTCCTTCTTCTCATAGTCACCCAGAAATCAGGAACACCAAAATGGAAACAGCTTTCTAGGCAAGAACGCTGGCTGTCTTCCCAATAGTCCATCTTACCCCCATGTTATATGGAGACTGAAGTACAAACCAGTGAACACTCTCTTACCTGGCAAATCCTTTCCGGTAGGCTATGCATTTATTCTTAAACTGTGCAATCTTTCTCTGCATCTTATGAAATTTTTTGGAAAGCTGCATCCGCTCCACTTTCTGAAGTTCCACCTCCTTTCCTGGCCCTTGAGGCTCTGGTTCTGGAGCGACCCAAGTCTCTATGCAGCATTCTATTTCCTGAGTGTATACTGCTGTGAAGAATACAGAAGAATTTCTACCATGGGATCAAAGCCCAAGAGGAATATGAGCTCAAGCATGTCTGTCCTAAGAAACAGAACTGAGGGCCCGCAGGTGTCATAGTGGTTAAAGAGCTGGACTCTCACATGGTTGACCGCGATTTGAGTTCCAGACCCAGTGGCTTGAAACTCACACCAGGGGTGGGTGCGGGTGTGCCCAAAATCCTGAGAGAAGAATGGAGGAGAAGGGATTACAGTGTGGCCTCCCGCCTGGGGGGTGATTTCTCACTTTCTGTCTCTCTTTGTTGTTCTGGTAATTATACATGCCCTTTAGCAAAAATCTCTTTTAGAAAATAAAGAAAGAAAGAAAGAAAGAAAGAAAGAGAGAGAGAGAGAGAGAAAAAAGAAAGAAAAGAGAGAGAGAGAGAGAAAGAAGAAAGAAAGAAAGAAAGAAAGAAAGAAAGAAAGAAAGAAAGAAAGAAAGAAAGAAAGAAAGAGAAAGAAAGAAAGAGAGAAAGGAAGGAAGGAGGGAAAGAAGGAAGGAAGAAAGAGAGAGAGAAGAAAGAGAAAGAAAGAAAGAAAGAAAGAAAGAGAGAGAGAGAGAGAGAGAAAGAAAGAAAGAAAGAAAGAAAGAAAGAAAGGGAAAGAAAGAGGGAGGAAGGAAGGAAGGAAGGAAGGAAGGAAGGAAGGAAGGAAGGAAAGAAGGAAGGAAGGAAGGAAAGAAAGAAAGAAGAGAGAGAACAGAAAGAAGAAATGAAGAAGAAAGAAAAAAGAAAGAAAGAAGAAAGAGAAAGAAGAAAAAGGAAGAAAAAAAGAAAGAAGAAAGGAAGACAAAGAAAGGAGAAAGAAAGAGAAAGAAAAACAGAGGCAAAGGGAAGGGAAGCTCTGAATTGGTGGGAAAAACAATTGTTGGCTCACTCCACCACACCTAGAGGAATGCTACATCTCTGACTTTGCAATGCCCTATATTTCACTGACCGAAGAAGGCAAGGTGTGATCACAGGGAGAATGTCCTTGTTCCCCACGATCGCTGTTTTCTACATGCTCACACACCATTTGTTCAATAGTCTAATCCTGAATTTTGCCATAGATCAACCCAAGATATACTCGCTGCTTCATAGAACACACAATCTTTGGTCATGGATGGAGATTAGGATTGCCAGGACCATGCCTTGTGTTCAGGAGTGGTTCCAGTGTGGGCAATGACAGTGGCGTTATGTTCTCACATGCAAATGACTGCTTATAAGGACAAGTCAGCAAGGACGAGGACTGGAACTTGGAGTTGAGGACCTGTAGTATCAACACCTCCAAAAATGCAGGGAAGACAATTGCACACCATGGACATACAAAGATGCTCGAAGAACATCATTTGGATGAAAATATTAGCAAGGCCTTTGAAGAAGAAAGGAGATATCCCCCAAGGAAAAAGAGCTGTCAGATTCTGTTCATGTGCTAAGATGCCACAGAGATTGCTGGGAAATTTTCACTGCCTTTACCCTGGTCTGTATTGATTTCAACACCATTTGCCACTGAGTGCCAGGGTAATGGAAATTGACCAGGGACTAAGAAAAATGTCAAGTTACCTCATGACTTGACGTCTGTACTTAAAATTTGGAACCAGAGTTCGACTTAAAGCAAAGTTGGTGAATAGGGCCTGGCTGGTAAGAGACAGCACTTTTCCTGACAAAGGGAGGCTACTTGGAAGACCAGGGAGACGCTTGTTCTTTTTTTCATGGGACTACTCACTGGCCCCATTTTGAAGACAGGAGACTTTAGACACAGCAGATGGGTAAATGGAACAGCCAGGAGTCAGGTCGGATTCAGATGATTCACATTTTTCAGGAGGAGTCATATTCTGGTCATCTGATGAGCCCTGCTGGATTTGACTCACATCCTCCTCTTCCAACAACTCTTCCCTGAACCAAGAGGTAAACAAAAAACAGAATACTGACACGGAAGTGTTGGACACTGGGACCAGCAGATGACATAATGGTTACATCGCTGCACTCCCACTTAGTCAATAGCAGTTCAAATTCTGGACCCGACAGCTTAAAACACACATTAGGCCAAAATCCCAAGCAGAGAATGGAGAAGAGATTGAGGCATGGCCATGACCTCTGGGTGGGGGTGGGGGTGATTTATTGCTTTCTGTCCCTCTGTGTCTCCAGCAAGCACACACGCCCTATAGTAAAATTATCTCTCTCTCAAAAAAAAGTGTTGGACACCACAGTTCAGCAGCAAGACCTAATGAGATTCTAAGGGAAAGGTGATAGAAGACAGAGGGGCTCTCTTCTGGAAGGTGTGGAACAAACTCATCCTCATCTGATCAGTGCAGAGGGAGGGTGGCTACCACGGGGATGAGTACAGGGGATGGAGACGAGTGTGGGAGCAGCGGGTGCTCAGTGCACTGGCCAGTAACACTCACATGAGGAAGGAGACCTCACACTCTCTGTGTGGCACACTCATGACAGGCACCACACGATGAGAGCCACACTGTCGTTACAAACCAGGGCAGTTTGGTTCCACTTTCCTTCTGGAGACCCGGGCAGTGAAGCCTCCTGAGGCATTGCCATCTCACGGAAATATGGACATTCTAGACCCTCTTCTCTCAGTATGGTGATGTAGATAGGAATTTTAGCTCTGATTAGTTCGTGTTATTTTGGAGATGGGTTTTGTTTGTTTGTTGCCATGAAATGCCTGCCAACAAATCAAGGACAATCTAGCAGAAACACATCTACCTCATTTGGTTCTTTCTACTCAGGGGAGAACAAGTGGTCTCTCTAAGGGTAGAAAAATTCATGAAATTAGCTCTGGGTTCCTAAGAAATTAATAGAAGGGTTTTAACAGTTTCAAATTAAACACACACACACACACACACACACACACACACACACACACACACACATTCCTCAGGAGTCCTCCCTTCTGCCCACAGGCACATGTATGTCAAGAATAGCAGAGAGAAGCAGCTTTCTAGGCAAAGACCCTGGTTGTCTTCTCAATGTACACACACACACACACACACACATTCCTCAGGAGTCCTCCCTTCTGCCCACAGGCACATGTATGTCAAGAATAGCAGAGAGAAGCAGCTTTCTAGGCAAAGACCCTGGTTGTCTTCTCAATGTACCTTCTTCTCATGTCAAAATGAAGACACCTGGTAGACCTAGGGGCTCTCTCTCACCTGCACAGTTCTTGGTCATAGGCCATGTACTCATCCCTGAAATGCATGCTCTTCTGTGTCTCCTTGACTTTTTCTTTGAGCTGCTCCCAGTCCACCTTCTGCTCATCTGCCTCTTTTCTCATCTTCTCAAGCTGGATTCGAGAAGTTACCAGGGTGTTTCTCAGGTCATCTGTGTCCTGGGTGTGCGCTGTTGGGAAACATACAAGAGCATTTCTATCACAGGCACAAAACGTATGCAAGCTCATCTTTCCTGACAAGCAAAATTGAGGCCAAGGGCAGAAAGATCCAGGGGATTGGTGGAAAAGGGGAGTGTTGGCTCAGCCTATCACCACACACCCCGAGGAATGCTGCATCTCTGTTTTTGTAATATCCTTCATCCCAGTGACTTAAGATGGCCAGCCTGCTCTTCGGCATATTCTAGTTTCTCATGTTCACAAATTTCTACATCTTCACACACCATTGGTTCAGAAATTTATTCCTGAATTATGTCAAAGATTAACCAACAATATGTTTTTTCAAAAAGAAGTATTTATTTAATTTATTTGTTATTATTATTATTTAATTTGTTATAAGGCACACATGCTCACCAAAGAGAGTTAGAAAGTGAGAAAGCAAGCCGCCAGGTCCAGTACTTGAACCATGGTCAGGCATGTGGGAGTTCAGTACCCCAACCACCACATCACCTCCTGGTCCTGTTCAAAGATATTATTAATGCTTCATAGAATACATGATCCTTGGTCATGAATGGGAATTATTATTACCAGGCCAAGTCTTGTCATCAGGAGAAGTTTCATCACAGGGGTTGATTGTGGTGTTTACATCCACATACTCAGAAAACTGCTTATGAGGACAAGCCATGTGGGAAGAAAGGGACTGGAGCTCAGGACAGAAGAACCATACTGATGACCTTATCAAAAATATGGGCAAGGGAACCAGCAGTTAGCGTAATGGCTATATCGCTGGACTCCCACGAGGTCGACCGCAGTTCACGTCCCAGACCTGGTGGCTTAGACCTCACGCCGGGCGCGTGTGCGTGCGTGCCCAAGATCCCGAGAGGAGAATGGAGGAGAAGGGATTGCGGTGTGACCATCCCCCGCGGGGGGTGATTTCTCGCTTCCTGTCTCTATGTCTCTCTCTGTCTATCTGGCAAGCGCACGCGCCCTATAGCGAAAACCTCTCAAAAAACAAAAAAAATGGGCGAGACAACACCCACTATGCACAGATGCAGAAGTCATTCGCATGTGAAGTGAACAGGACAGCTGAAGGTCTCTCAGTCTCTGTTCATGTGCTAAGATGCCACAGAGTTTGCCAGGAAACCTTCACACTCTTCGCCCTGGTCTGTACTGATTTCAAAACACCATTTGCCAGTGAGTGCCAGGGTGACAGAAGATGGTCAAAAACTAGGAAGAGTGCCAAGTTATCATTACTGGATGTCTATGCTCAAAATTGTGACCTAGAGTTCAATTAAAGCCAAGTGAGTGAATGGGGACTGGCC